GAAAATGGCTACAAGCTGACATTTTTTAATACATCAGCTGCGCTCTGACATGTGGTTCTGACTATGTGCACCGAGAAACCGAGGGGGAGGAGGATACGAGAGCGGGGCGGAGGGGGGGGGGGGGGGTGGGCGGGGATTGTCAGATCGCAGAGCTCTGGTTGGAATGATTATAGTGGGTAGACCTAACCATAGCTGCTTTTGTCTCCACTGAACTCGTCCAATGCGTCAAACGCGGGCGCCCGTTGTTTTGGCTTTTGCATTTGAACGCGTTCGACGTGTACGGTGGAGACAAAGGCACCCATGGCTTTAAGTCCACCCACTAATACTCTCGTTTCCTCTTCCTCTCTTTCTCTCTCTCTCTCAGGTTCTACCCGTATAGTCACCGACAACCTTACAAACAGGGGCTGTTTCACGAGCTGGTTCTTTGACGTTGTTCTCGGCTAATGTCGTAATCAGATTAGCCCCGATGCGATAGCAGGGTGGTCGGCCCTCGCCGCGCCCTGCGCATATACTAAGTTGTCGGTCACTACAGCCGCCCAAAGGAATCATCTGTCCAAGTTCTTGTACTTATCAAACTTATAATCGAGATTACATAAGAATTTCCCGATTTCGAAATTTAGGCGGTGGTGACCACACCAACTTTATTAAGCGACTATTTAGAAACCTAAAAGGAGATGGCGTTGGAGGGGCATTTTAAAATGCAAGCTTTACGTACATTTTCGTCCTTGACGGGAGAAAATAAAACGCCCCTTAACAGCGCAAAAAGACAAAAAAGAAAAAGAAGCGTGTCAGCATTTAGATGCTATCAAATTTAAAATCAGCGGGAATACTGCCTTTCCAAGGTGCACACTTCTCTGTACTTCTTCCTTTCTTTATGTGTTATAAAAAAAACCTGTTTTTAGCTATTTTGATCAGTTTCTTTTTCTGACGTTCAAACAATCTTCTAGGTTGTAGGCTATATTAAACATATAAAAATAACCAGCAAAAAGGACACAGAAAAAGGACACCTTTCAGGCCGATTGATCGCATGAGGCTGGACGAGTGTGGCCTCGATTTAAGGAGTGACAAGAACAGTTATTCGAGAGTAGTTATAAATGTGTTTCTTTTGTTTTGCAGGGGTTTGAAAAAAAAAATAGGAGCTTTGAATGAGTTCCACATATAAAATGTGTGTCAAGTTGATCACACTGACTGGATTTCTAACAATGTGTGCACTTCAGACTAAGCAACGCGTGTCTTCATAAACTCCACTGCGCGATTTTTCTTTTACGTGGAGGGGACGGCAGCTAATTGGTGGGTGCGGAAAGACCAGCTGCTTCTGTTTCTACTCCCTCTTTGAACACGTTCAGACAGTGAGTAGAAACAAAGCCAGCTAAATGGTCGGTAGACGCCTAGGCTAGGTACATTTGTTTCTACTCCCTCTTTGAAATGGTTCACACAATGGGCAGAGAAGAATGAAACTAATTAGAGGGTAGACGCAAAGGCTAGCTGCCCTCGTCTCTACTCTCTCCTGGAACGCGTTCATGCATTCAGTAAATACAAAGGTAGCTAATATTTGGGTACGCAAGGGCTAACTGCAGCCTTCGCGTATATTTACTCTTCGAACTCGTTCACATGGTAAGTAGAGACATAAGTAGCAAATTTGTCGGCAGACGCCAAGGCTACCTGCCTTTGTCCTAACGCGTTTTATGAATCACGTTTGGCGTTCGAACTGTGATTAAAGCAAAAACCACTAGCCTTGACGTCTATCCACTAATCGTTTCTATCAGAGCTCGACACTCTGGCGTCCCCTCGCACTTCCGTATCTTCCTCTATCTCAGTTTTTTAACTAAAGCAGACGTGACCGCGCAGCTTGGTTCTCTCGAGCACGTCTATAAACACGATGATTAATTGTTACGTAGACACCAAAATCCCGGCCGGAATATCCGGAACAAGTTCCGCTTCCGACAGGCCAACAACAGCGGGCCAAGAGTGGCTCGCCATGTACTGCGTTTCTTTCCTCCGTGTCGGACTCATTTCCCGGACGATTTACGAGGATGTATGCGTAGCATTACGCGCAGCACACAACGAGCAACATCGCCATTAATGAACGTCGACGCGCCGCACAAGGGATGGGGGGAGGGGGGGGGGGGGCAGTTTTAACGAAATGTCTTCCCCACAACCCCCAAACGAAAAACTAGTGCAAACCGAGTTTGTCTTGGGAAGTAGGCATCGCTTCGCCACTGAGCCTGAGTGGCCATAGTTGCTTTACTATTCCAGTTTATTTAGCTTAAAAGGAACGATCTATTTCGTCTAGTTCAGCTGACTTGTATTGCACTAAAATAATAAGTCGGGCTAGTTGGTTTTCCATCTGAAGTAAACGCCTAAATAAACAAGGACACGAGGAAGAAGAGACAACACGCTGGCGTAATATTACGCCAAAGTGTTTTCTCGTCTTCCTCTTGTCCTTGTTTTCTTAGTCGTTAAGTTCATATTATATTGTACAAAAGCCTTTTTTGTGTGCCCGAGCGCAAGTTTGGGTTCAAGTTTTTGCTGAGATGTTGTGAACGCTGGAACTGTCAAGTTCGTTTTTCAGTAAGTCCGAATCGGGGAAGATATTGGATTTTCGACTTTTATCGTGAAGCCTCTTTTTGGTGAGGCTAACCTGGTAAAAATGTGAGGCGCAAAAGTGGAACACAAAAGCGAGACGCAGAATCAAGACGTAAGTTCCGACCAATCGAGCGATGTGCGGTGTCACCATGCAGCACGGCTGCGCTATGAGTGGCACCTCCTTACTGTTCACTGGTGCAAGCTGTCACGTGACCATACCGACATCCAATGTCGTTCCTGTCAGAAGTTGCTATACGAGTCTTGGTTTATGAACGATTTCACCGCGATTTATACTAACCCAAAAGCGTATTCTTTGAATGGAGAGTTTTTCAGGTCTGACCTAGGTAATTTTGCGAAACTTCAGAATTTGGTGATTATTTCAAACCTTCATAAATTACCAATTGTGTATTTGTAAGTTGTAATACAAATGTGCAGTATCGAATAGTTTCTTTTTTTGATGATAAAAATTATATTTTATGATAAAAAAGGCATTGAGATAAAAGAAAGTAAAAAGGTATTGAGCTTAAAAGTTTTCGTGCGATAATACAGAGAATACAAAAATACAGCAAAAAGGTGTCACAAACAATAAAAAAAAATTATTCAGTGTAAGTTTCTTTTTTTTTCTAAACGTGATTTATATGTCTTTTTTTTGAATATCACGTCTTCAATCCAAGTATCCAACAACACTATAACCTCTAAGAACTCGCAACATCGAGCGTACATGTTGCTAGCAACAGCCTCTGCCATGAAAATAGCAACAAAACACAAAGGAAAAAGCGAAGTCCTTGTACCTGCGGTGGATACAATTCCTTTGTTTACGAGACCATGTCGTCAGAGAAAGTTTCCGGCCTACTTATTCCACCGTCACATAGGAACAAACAAAAAGAGACAGACAAACTGGAAGTATGGTGGCACCACTAGAGCCGCCAATCAGTAGTCCACGGACAACCAAAAATAAACCTATATGTGTCAAAATGGGTGGTTCCCGTTTCAACCCATTCCCATTTCAACCTTCCCGTTTGTACCTTCCCGTTTCGACCCGGATCAAAACGACCTTCCCGTTTCATCTTTTCTCATTTCGCCTTTCCCGAAACAACCTTCCCGTTTCGACCCGTGTCACCTCGCACTGTCCACGGGAAGTTTGTTATCAGTTCAGTCCGTTCAAGTGTACCATGTCTGTCTTCCTTGGTGACCTAATTTCACCCTCTCGCAAAACGACCTTGAAGATTTAATCACCAGCAGTCATTTTTTGCACGCTGTTCTGGTGTTAGTGTGTCGGCAGTGCTGTAAACGCATAGCAGTTACCGCTGTCACCGCCGCAGGATGTCTTCGTTTGTCATCTTACAAACCCAGAAAAAGAAGCAGTGTTTACACTTAGATGGATATAAGTACCACAAGAAACGTTCGAATGCGAACGGAACTGTTGCGTGGCGGTGTGCCAACCATGGTTCATCCTGCTGCCCTGCATCAATCCTGACGGAAGGAGATCATGTCAAGAACACCCTTCGTGAGTAGAAAGGTTATTTAAAGCTGAAGGTTAACGTGAATTTGCAGTGCGAAATTAACATTTCATTTTTTTTTAGGAGACCACAATCACCCTCCCGATGAAACAGCCGTTGTCAAGGACCGGATCAGAATGGAACTAAAAGAAAAAGTGGCCTCTAATCCTCACGTTGCAGCTCCGACGCTCTACAACCAGGAACTTCGCGCATCTCAAGCCGTAAGTGTCCATTTTGTGAAAGTGCGATCATAATGGGCTTTTTTTTTTTTTTAGCTGGGCTATATTAGAAAAAAGTAAACGTGAGATGTAGTAATTTGAGTCCTGCGGCAGTGATAATGGCCTTGGTGGCCACTAGAAAAATGCGAAATTAGGTCATTAGCTAGCTAATTAACTAAAACGTTTGAATTATTTTTCACTCGAGGGCGCGTAATGTATTTGGATAATTAAAGCTCGTCCTCAATATGGTCTAGATGTGAAGTACCATTCTGAATTAAAATTCATAGTGGGCGCTATGGGGCAAGATATGTCAGCCTTGTTCAAGGGTAAACTTTCTTGCCCTGTAGTGCCCACTAATACTTTTTTAATCAAACTTTTACGGTACGGCTAAGCCAGATTGAGGTCGAGCTTCGATCTTTTATATACCCTATGCCCCTAGCCCTCAGATGCTAAATTTACCTACCCATTTTAGTTAAGTAACTACCTAATTCCGCCATTGCGCCTTAGTTCAAGCGGCCAGAATGGCCACCAACTTGGCCCAAGGGCTCAAACTACCCTATCTCACCTTCCGTTTCTTTGAAAATTTGGTGCAGCTAAAAGGAAAAGAAAAGGGGACTGTATGTTTTCATGTGTAATCAGGTTTGTTGGCTAAAGCGGGAACTGTATTTATTTTTAGAGCGCGGCCGATGTAGCTGAAATCCCGACTTTCGCAAGCCTGAAGAACGCCATGTACAGAGAGCGACGCCGTCATCAGCCGGAACTTCCTGCAACTGCGGACGACATTCAGCTGAGCCCGTTGTACCAACAGACAGAAGACGGCCATCCCTTCCTTGTAATCGATGACACTAGTGTTGGTGGTTCTCGGATCTTAGCCTTTGCATCACGGGAGGGTTTGCTGCGCTTGTCATCCGCGAAGATGCTCTTTGTTGATGGTACATTTTTTGTTGTGCCTCAGATTTTTGATCAACTCCTGACCATTCATGTCATGTCGGATGGCAAACACTCACCCGCAGTGTACTTTCTGCTGTCTGGTAGATCTCGTGAGACGTATGTTCGAGCATTTCAAAACTTGAGGAATGTATTCGCTGGTGCGGGCATCGTGTTTCCGAATCCTGACATTTTTCTAACAGACTTCGAGCAGGCGCTCATCGCAGGCTTGTTGACTTTATTCCCAACCGCAATCCATCGTGGGTGCCATTTCCATTTCACAAAAAGAGTGTGGGCTGCAGTACAAAGAGCCGGCCTCCAAACTGCGTACGGGCAGAATGACACTATTAGGTCCCTTATTAGAAAGATGGTGGCGCTGTCGTTCGTTCCAGTTTCTGACGTCCAGCGTGCATGGCTGTTTTTGCGACAAGAAGGCGTATCCCTCGGTGTTTCAGGCGTCATCACTGTGCTTGACTATTTTGATGGCACCTGGGTGAATGGTCATTTTTTGATTCAGCAATGGAATCACCACGGAAACCGAGGGCCACGGACAAACAACCACATGGAGTCCTGGCACCGTAAAATAAATGCGGTGTCAGGGAGGGCCCACCCGAACATTTACAGTTTTATCGATTTAATTAAACGGGATTAGGCTTTGACTAGGATATCCTTGGAGCAGCTTGCGAATGGTGGTGCTGTGCGGGCCAGGGGCCACAAGTGGGTCAGCAAGGACCGCAAGCTTTCTGAGCTCGAGTGTCGCCTTTCTAATGGCACGATTTCCATCTTTGAGTTTCTCAACAAAGCGAAGGCATTTTCCGGTCTGTGATGTTTTTCTGTGTGCGCGAGTGTTCAATGTTTAAAAGTGTAAAAGCAAATAAAGTCGCGATCATATGTCTGTCCCCCTGTCTGATTTCTCGCTCTCCAAAATATCACAATCAAAAATATAAGGTTTTAGGAGAATGTACGCAAGGCTTTGGGTAAACTGAAAATAGCGTCGCGACGGCGACGCTAATTTTAGCTTACCCAAAGTGATTGTGTACGTAAGACTTCATTATTGTGCATAGCGTGAAAATGTTACCGCGAACAAGCGATCGGCGGCGTTGCTGTTTATCTCATAGAATTAAAAAGCTGCCATAAACACTATTGCTCTCTTTGGAAGTGCTTATCTGAGCCACTACCCTAGGCCCTAAAATTTGGTACCTGCTAATACCCTTCCGAAGTAAAATTCTAAAAGAATCGACAAGGTCGTTTTTGCAGCAACGGCGTCGCCGAATGTACTTAGGCCATTTCGCGGTTGCACGTTAAGGCCCGTTCACACTCTTGCGACCGAGTTCGACCGAGAGCAACCAAACCGGTTTTTAAGCCTCTTGCGATCTCTTAGGACCAGCTCAGCTGCAGCGCATCCGGTCCTAAGAAGTCGCAAAAGGCTTAAAAACCGGTCTGGTCTCTCTCGGTCGAACTCGGTTGCAAGAGTGTGAACGGGCCTTTATGGGGATCATCTTGAAATAAATAAAAAAAAAAAAAAAACTTTAAGTGGTTGAAGTAAGAATAATATATTACATCGAAGCCTACCTGAAAGGTGCATATTTTTAAAACACACCGGCTTCCAGAAATATTTCAGAACATGTATTCTTAAGCCGAAAAGGTGCACTGACCAGGATTTGAACGATTAGCCTTTCGCGAAGAGGTTGGCATGCGCAGGGTTTTATACAAATGGGCTGAAAATGGACGGGTTCAAACGCAAAGGGTCTTTCGGGTATCAGTTGAAACAGGATTGATTCAAGTGAGAGGGGCGTTTCGGGAATGGGACGAAACGGGAAGGGTTCAAACGAGAAGGGCGTTTTGGGAATGGGACGAAACGGGACGGGTTCAAACGGGAAGGTTGTTACGGGAATGGGTCGAAACGGGAAGGGTTCAAACGGGAAGGTCGATTCGGGAATGGGTCGAAATGGGATGGGTTCAAACGGGAATGGGTTGTTTCGGGCTACACCCGTCAAAATACCCACTATATGTTCACGCGTGATGCGAAATAATCTGACACCGCGCCCATTCGATTGCGCATGTAGCTTCCGACGACGTTGTTTGGTGTGTAAACAAAGTAATCCTCAAATAATTACAACACACACACACACAGACGCACACACACACACACACACAAACGCATGCACACACGCGCGCGCTCACACGCGCCCACACGCGCGCACACGCACACGCACGCGCACACACACGCACACACACACGCACGTACACACGCGCGCACGCGTACACGTACACACACACGCACACGCGCACACGCACAGGCCCACGCACACGCACACATATATATTTTGATGCAAGAACAAAGTTTAGTGTCACAGCCTGCTGAGTTAGCAACGACGAGAAAAGAAACACGGAAAACAAGGGCGGCGGGGGGGAGGGGGGGGGGGGTTCTAAAAGGGCAAAGGAGATAGAGAGAGAGAGAAAGAAACCAGGAGACGGTGCAACATGGATCATCGATACATATTGACCGCTCTGAGCCCTCGACAAATGTAACTCCGGTCGGGATTGTCACATGCCGTATATGTGCCGCTTGGCATGTTCGGTGCGCGGAATTACTAAAAAAGAGGACGTGCGTGAGCTCTTTAGTAGGCCGCAACGCGTGCGGTTGCTTTGTTGTGGGTCTTCAGAAGGGGCGGTTCGGAACCATTGCAGGCAAAACTGTCATTGTAACGACTGGTTTTTTTTCAGTCCCGTCTCGAGTTTTGGCGCATCAAGAAAAAACGCCAAGGACGGTTTGAGCCAAATATACCTGGAAGGAAACTTTCAGTGAGGTTCGCAATAGCCTGCCGACATTGTTTGTGTTCTTTTGAGAGGAGTGCGTGCGTGTCTATTGGGAGCGAAACAGTGTTTCAAAATAAATAAGTCTTGTCTGATGCATTGCTTCTGTTATTGCCGTTTCTTTCCAAAACCTCTCCAAGCACTTCAATAGCTTTAATTATCGATACATAAATCTTGATCCCATGTGTCTTGTTAACTAAGAGAAAAAAAAGCGGCTCTTGATATAGAACTTTGTACCTTAACTGACAACTCAGCTTGAAACAAGCAGGAGCACTAAATTGCTAAACAAAACAGGAAATCTGCAGACGGATCACTCAAACAGCGCTCTATTTTCGTCTCCTTTGTTAAACTGAAATTTTAAAATACTTTGTGCAGTCATGCTTCGTGCACGGTTCTCCGTATGGTTTACTTATAACGACGCAAAAATTATTTAAGACTCGCAAGTTAGCAGATATTTCAACAAAACGCCGACCTTTTAACCGAAGCAGGCTGTACAATTGCGCTTCGACCGAGAACCAACGAGTGACGATACTTATCCAGACAATAAGGCGAACGAATAGAAACACACGCATCGTAAAAGTAGATGGTATTTCCGACAAATTCAAAAGTACGACTCAACAAACGCATCACAGTGATTGTGCTTCTTTTTTTGTTACTTCCCCCATGTTTCTCACAAAAAAAAAATTAAATAAATAAACAAACACGACCGGAGCGGCGCTCGAAGAAACAAATTTCCTTCAAAAGTATATGCATACATAATAGGTAGATCTAGAAATTACTCGCGGTTCTTTTATAGGGGTTTTAAAGTGCTAGGACATCTTGAGTTATACGGGTAAGCCCACCCTCTCTCTTTCTCTATTTCCTCTCCTTCACCCTTCCTCCTCCTCTCTTCTTATTCTATTTTGTTTTCCTTTAAAAATGGGCGCATTGTGTTTGTGGAGTCCTCGCAGATTTCACGGGACCGGTGGGGCGATCGTGTCACTACTGAGGCGGCACCGGTAATTTCGGAAAGAATTTACGACGACCATAAACTTTTCAAAACATTCCGGGCCTGTTCCGTCAATTCGTACAAGACGCAGCGTATTCCTTTTGTCGGAATACGTAATTAAAGGTTGCAGTGGGATCAAGTTTAATGAACACAGCGTCTCCGAGGCGCTACCCGCCGTGCTCGGTCGTCTGGCTGTAAACGGCGGAAGTGTGCTCAGTGGTTTGCCACAACGGTGATCGCACTTGGATGCTCAATCTCTGTCACTTTTTTATCGTTGCGTCCTCTAGTTTGCGTCACGACCTTCCAGTTATTCGTTCTATGTCCTCTAACCGGTGATGGCTAAACGCAGAACATTTGGCGCGCTGAAAATATTTAGATGAAAACAGACGGCGCCGTGAGTAGGTTGTTAAGACGGAACGCTGCGTTTTTATCCATCGCCTTCTTCCCGCCGCCATCGCTGTCTACTGGGACGTTCATCGCGTTCTGATCATGCGCAGTAGCTCACTTCTGTTGAATATCAAATGTCCTGCCTCCGTGCACGACCTTGCGACTGGGAATTTTTCGCCTGTACGATAGCCACAGGAAAGGTGTATACTTCGGCTGCTGTTAAGCTAGGTAACAGGGCCTGTGGAGGATACACGCCCGCGGATTAATTCATCACTTGCCATTCATAGTTTGATTCCGCGCTCTGCATGTGCGTATGCGCGGAAAGTGTAATCACGTGATGTAAGACCGACGCTGAGCAAGCATGTCCTACCGCCATACTATTATTTCAGGCTTAACACCGACGTTGGGAGTGGCTTACACCGCCCTGTCAGCCCAGCCGTTAACGGAGAATATACCAACAGGCGGTCCTGACGTCACGCCCCTGCGATTGGCAGTGCGCATGCGCTGGCGCTCCACTTTACGCGAATATGGTTTTTGCGTGTTTGCCCACACTTGGTGTAAGCTTGTTTGTAAACAGCGCGTTCGCCTACAGCTGTTTCTTTAACCTATACGGAGAGCAAGACGTCTGCTTCTTGCGCAGCAGTTGCGGTGACGTCAGAAGGACACCGAGCTTTGAATGGCTCTGAATGAAGGATAGTCGGTTGACCTCAAAGCAAGCTTCCGTTTAGGTCTACCCGCCATCCTTCATTCAGAAGCAATCAGAGCTCGGTTTTCTGACATCACCACAACCCCTGGATAAGAGGCAGACGAACTTGCATTCCGTATAGCTTGACGTAGCGAGGCCCCTGTCACTCTAATCCAGGGGTCGGCGACCCGCGGTCCGAAAGGCAGTCTCATGCGGCCCCCATCCTGACACCAAAAGGCCTCCTTGTCCCCCCTCTGCTGCTTCCTCATAAAGAATCAAGGATCCCATAGCAATTTTTTTCTTAAAAATCAATAAAATAAAAAAATAAAGCAATTTGTAAAGGGCATAAAGGGAGGCGTATTTTTTCAATACACCCCCCTCCCCCCAATAAAATATATTCGCACTTTCTCAACGTTCTTAGACAGAATTCAAGTGGAGCTCACGGCACGCTCTTAGGCCCGCCGTCAGATCAATGGCTCGCCCATTACTGCTGGTTTGTCTTGGCTGCTCGGCTGCTCGGGTGAACACACTGACAAGCCCCGCGTCTCCATTTCGTGACAACGGGTGTGTCGAGTCCGGCGTCTGACACCGCCTGCTAGTCGTGCGAGCAGAAGGGCAGCAGCCTCCGGCATCTTCTATTACACCATCGTCTATCGTCGTCTGCAATGCCCGTAGGACCCGGACATGAAAGCTGCCCATCGGCGTTTGTTTTCACCATTGTCTGTCTGCTATACCACTCCCGCCTAAA